CGTATCCGTGACTTAATTGATGTTTGCAGCCCATCGGCCATTAGGATTTAGAAGCGTTTTTTCACTTTCCTTAGAATTGTGGTAAAGAGCTGATATTTTTAAGATGACAATATAAGGTTCTTTTTAAATAGAATTTAAAATGTTAGTTCATTTTATTAGGAAATATGCTTACTTTACAAATGTTGGAAAAACTGTCTTCTGTAGCATCAGCCCGGATGTATTTTCCAGAGATGTTTAATGCTCCAGAATAAAAATCGATTTTAGAACAACAGCTCCTATATGTCATTGTGTTATACTGCTTCATCTAAAATTTCAGAAATATTTTCATTGTGTTTTCCTGCGTTCTTTAGTGGCTCGTTAAGTGTATTATAAGAATCAATTTTTTCTTAGGTTAAAAAAAAAATGTCCAGAGGCAAATGGAAGTAATTCCTCTCTGGTGTAGCAAGTGCTTACTCGGTCCCATACAAACTTGCTGAGATTCTAAATTTTTTTTTTTTTCTTTTTTAATTTTAAATTGGCCATCTCTAATCTTTGGTTACATTTCCCGGTGGTTGCTTGTTTGTTCGCATGTTTATTTGTTTGTTTCTGAGGGTTTCATCTTTGCTTTCCCCCATCAGCCCAAGGGGACCAGAGGCAAAGGCGCAGAACGGACTGGCTTTATTTGACTTTTCTTTGGTTTATTCCCCAACCGCCCGAGGAAAACTCTTTAAAGAAAAATTAGAAACCCAAAACAAACAGTGAGAAACCCCACCCCGCTCTCCCTGCTTGGCATCACCTCGGATTTGACACGCGGTTCCTTTTTCCAAGGGCTCAATGAGCGGCTCCTCTAACTCCCTCTCTAAATTCGTTTGACATTTTATTGCTCATGAAGAAATACAAGCGCTTGGAAAGTGTTTCTATCTCTATATTTAAAAAACAAACAAACCCTAAGACCTGCTCAGCCCTGCAGGAAGCAGGTAGTGAGAAATATAACCAAGAATCTCTCTCCACTAATTTTTAACATAATGGGCACTCTAAAGGGCAATATTTCACTTCTTAAAAAAATCCTTTCTTTGGGGCAGCTCTGAAAAGAAAACAAAAGAAGAAGAAAGATATTTGGAGCTTAGTGAGAGAAGAGAGAGAAAGGGAAGTAACTTGTCATAAAAAAAAAAGGAAAATTCAGTGCAGTGTGCTGCAATAAAAGAATATGACCGCTATAAAACTTTATAGGGTATAAATTTCTGAAGGTTAAGGAACTAAACGGCTGTAAAGCAAACAGTGCAAGAAAACTTTCAGGAACTCCTAAATTACTACAACGACTTGGGAATGTGGGGAAACCCAACGTGTAAATGCTCTTGTTTCTGCTTCACTCACATACAAAGTTGCCCTCTTCTTTTTTTTTTTTTTTCCTTTTTTTTTCCTTTTTTTTTTTTTTTTCCGAGGGGAGGGGGTATTTTGGAAATAAGGGGTGGGGGAGAGGGAGAGAAAAGGTGGGGAGGGACTTTAGCTAATTTATTCTTCTTTTGCAGATGCCGTGAAAATCCAGCGCTCTGGATGATTCCCTTTGTTCTTTTTTTTTTTTTTTTTCCTCCCCCCCCCCCCCTTTTTTTTTTCTTTTCCCTTTAAAGCAATTCCAGGCTGCCAGAACGCTGAGCCCTGCACACAACAACACACACACACAGAGGCGCACACACACACACACACACACACACCCCCATTCACACACTCGAAGTTCTGGCGAGACGTCTGGGCTTGGGAAGCTCTTTATGGGTTTACAGCCCCGGCCTTCCCCCTCCAGAGCAGAATGACCAATTGTTTAGTCTCGGAATTTGAAACAATAGCGGTTTTCAAAAGCAAACCCATTTTCCCTCTTTTATTGCCGGCTGGATGGTGCAGTTTTCCCCGCGTAAAACTTCAGCGCTGCGGGGCGAGGAGGAATAACTCAATTTTCCCTTTTTTCCCTTTTTAATTCTTTTTTTTTTCCTCCTCGCTTTTTTCCCCTCGCTTTTCCCGGGTTTTATTTCCCCAGGTCCCAACGGGGACACCCCCAGCCCCCCCTTTTTTTCTGCCCCCACCCCGAAGGAAAGCTCCCCCTCCGCGGCTCAGACTGCAGCTCCGCGCAGGGCCGCTAGGTGGCGCCCTTGCTCCACGCAAGACGCGCGTCTCCCGCGCGCGGCCGCGGGGCTCCGCGTAACACCTTGACTTCATTAGCGGCGGCACGCGGGCTGCGAGCACGAACACTCCCGAAGCATAAAATATAGGGTTAATTACAGCCATTTTGCCGGTTACATCTATTTTTCCCTGCGAGGGTAAATTATGCGAGGTTTGGGTTTAGTTTTTTTATTATTATTTTAAAAAAAAGGAGAGTTAATCTGGAGGCTCTGTGCTGAGAGGTGGGACGCGCATCTATTTGAAATGTTCATTTAAAAGGGGAGGAAAAAAACCCCACCAAAACCCAAACCATGGGGTTTTGTCTTCTGCTGATTGGGGTGGAGGTGGGAGGGGAGCTTAATTATCTCCAAACCGAAGATTTACGCTCGCAGGGCTGGAAAAGAGGGTGGCTCCAAGATTTCGGGGAGAAAGGAGCACCCGGAATCAGGATATTTCCCCCAGACTCTTTCCCTCGGCCGTTAGGATGAGCTGCGCTTTCTCGGATCTTTATTTTATATGTTTTAGATTCATAACCCTCGCCGGACAAAACCCCCCACATTATAATGCTTTTTAGAAGTCGAATTGGTCATTTTTGGTAGAGTTGCTCCGTCTTTTGATAACGCTGCTGCTTTTTGCCCAAGGTCTTAACTTAATATGTTTGGTGATATTTTAAAATCGTACAAAACCGGAAATTAATCCAAAACGCTATTAACTTCCCACGTTTTGTGATACGTATAAACCCCCCACTGATGCAGGAACAGCAAAAACGGAAAGTTTAAACTCCGTTGACCACTTTTATTTTGGCCTTTGTTTCTTCAAAATTACCAGAGAAAAACTATTCAGACATTCCAGTCCTTCAGCTACAAATTCGGCTACAAATAACATAGAAAGGAATGGTGGCAATAATTTAAATAAAGGTTTTCTTCCAAATTGTTATAAACGGGTATTTTCCAAATAAATGTTTCTCCCCAGTTCCATCAGATTCCCCGATAAGCAGCGTTCTGGGGAAGAATGTAACAAATTAAACCCCCACCCACAACAGACCAGGATGCGATATGTTGTTTTAAAAAGCAAAGTTTAAGCATCTCAAGACTCTGTTTAAAAGCTACAAAATGAATTACAAACGTAAACAGAAATAGATGGGGAAAATAAAGAAATATCTTGCCCTTGTGCATTCAGTAAAATGCGGAGAAGTGAAAAGTTAAGGTTTACCCAAGAAAGGTTTGTTGTTTTTTTTTTTTTTCCTTGAGAATTCCTAATAAATCTTTCCTCCACTGGGTATTTATAAATTATCTTCTCTCTCTCAGACACACGCACGCACACACACACATCCCCACTTGTTTTTTCTTATAATAGAAACATTTTCCTTTCATCAGGAATCTGAGTACAGTATATGAATGATTTAAGATCAGCCATTGATTTCTGGTGCATTGGTGAGTTACCATCACTTCACGACCATAAAATTCTACTCCACTTGATAAAAACGTTAACTTCCAAGAACAACTTCAATCCCGCCTTCCCGGGGTCCACATACGAACGGGAATTCCTGCTATTTTTACCTTAAAAACTTGGGTAGATAGATACGCCTGCAAAGAAGACAGCTTCTTTTCTAAAATTACTTCACTCGATTCAGATTATTTTAAATTTTTTTCTTTCTTGAAAATTCTAGCATCGAGCATCCCCACGCCAGGCTGCAAAGCTCTATTTACTTCTGTGCACCGTTTCTGGGGTTTTATGTTCAAAGATGAAACCAAAATCTGCTCAATCGACAATAAAAGTGTTGAGAAAAATAAAATGTTAACTTGCCTTTTAGGGGGGAAAAAGCCTTAATTATACCACTGCAAGTACTCCAACAACAATAATTACTTGAAAAGGCTCTTAGACTCGACTGAAATTATCCTTACACAAAATAAAGGAAACGTATTTACTTAAATTATTTCTCAAAGGATGGTTTTAAAGTTTTATTCCGTTACTATCCTTGTTTTCTTCCTTCCTTTCCTTGTCTCTCTCTCTGTCTTTCTTAATTCCCTGCTTATTCCCACTGCCAATTTTAATTCAAGAATTTTTTTGTACCAAAGCCCTGGCAAGACAGACTAACCGAACCATTTTAACTTTTTCCTCTTTTTTCCGTCTTGTGGAGGTTGAAAATTGTCCCTCGGTTCAAGGCAGGAGGGAGCGAAACCGTCTTTAATTCACCTTTCTGGTGTCAAACCCGCGCAGCCGGATGCAATGGGAAGCAGCAGAAATCAAGGCAGGGCAAAGGAAAAATAATAAAGAAATAGGGGTTTTAAAGGGCGTCTTTAAACTCCTGTTGAAGGTGGAATGATTGGAAAATCTCGCTGGCATCGCGAGGGGCTTGGAGGGGCGCCGGGGGTGTCGGGGAGGCTGGGGCAGGGTCGGGGCTCGGTGTGTTACCGGCTGAAACACCTCCCGGTGATATTTGCTGACTGCGAGAAATGAATTTCAAAATCTACCCCCTGTGTGTTTAGACGGTGGAAAATTGCAGCGTTGGCATCTTAGGGGTAAGTTTGCTCCGTTGTTACCAAACGCCAATAAAATAGAAAGCCTCTCTCCTCTCTCCCTGACCCCATCCCCCCCCCCTTTTCCCCAGTTTTCATCAGAAGTATCATGAAAAAAAAAGATGTGAGGAAAAAAAAAAAAGAAAAAGAAGTTATTGGGGAGGGGGTGAGGTAGGAAGAGCCATCAGTTACCCACCATAGAGGTTCTGCTCTGGGTGTGATAAGCGACACAATACTTTTAGTTCGCAATCATCCCCCAGCACGTCTTGAGCAAGTCCTCGGCGGGGGAGGAGGGGGGCAGGGGAGGGGGCTGCGGGAGAGACACGAGAAGTCAATGTTATATATGAAAAACTATAATCATTTTAATTCAATATTGACACCTCGACATCTCGCTGTAATGCGGACGGGTCCAATCGAAACCTCTGGTTTATAGCGGTAGAGGAACGAACTCGTAAAATCCTAACGGCTTTTATGTAGTGCGGTATAAACAACAACAACATCCCCGGCTTTATGGCGTTTTATAGTTTGTTAAACAGTTTACAGCCTTTTTTGGGGCTATTACAAATGCAATTCCCTTCATGTGATAGTTAAACCTTTATCAATAATAAGGAAATTGATCATTAAAATGTTAAATATGACTACCTCGTTTGTTTTAAAATATGTTTAGGGTAAGAAGCTGTATGATTTGATAACTTGTATTAAAATACCAATTACATTTATAGGACCTTTTAAAACTGGTAGCAATTAAATCGTGTTCTTTTACAGTTTTCCAAAGCGACCCTGACATTTAAAAAGGCTAAAACTGCCTCGTTAAAATTTTGAAATTAACGACTGCGAGCGCTTCTCTTTAATTTTCCAACACTCCCCAAAAATCAATCTTTTGGGTGGTCTAGGTATGTGATTTGTTGTGAGGCGAGCGATATCTCATTAATGTAGGTAGTTAAACATATTTAATCCGTATATTCACCCCACCTCCTTCTCCCTTCCCCTCTCGCTCCCTCTCTCTCTCTCTCTCTCTCGCTCCCTCTCCCTCTCTCGCTCCCCCTCGCTTGCTTTTCCTTCTTTATTCTCTCACACTCTTCCTTTCACAATCATGCAGTGCAGAGTCCGTGTGGAGTAAGGAGAAGCCAATAGGATGAGGTTTTGGTAATAGATGCAAATGATCATGAAAAGACACTGCAAAATATGAAACAACTCATTTGCGCTGAAGTAAATCACTGAAAACTGTTTATGAACTGGCATCTCTTCTTGGAAATGTAAAGCGAGAACTCTTTAAGTGGCGATTTTTTTTTTTTTTTAGGGGTGGGGGGGAGGAAAGAATTCAATATCATGCAGGCTTAGAGTTTTGATTATATCCTCCTTTTATATTCCTGGAAATCACAAACTGTCGTTGCTTAGCATCTTAGCGCTTTCTTTTTTTGCTAATAGATTCCCGTGGTCTGGTTTGGTTGGCTTTTTTTTTTTTTTTTTTTTTTTTTTTTTTTTCCTTTCCCTCCTTTTCTTCCTCCTCCGAACAGATACTCTTATTTAAATTAAAATGAGTTCTTATTTTGTCAACTCACTCTTCTCCAAATACAAAACCGGGGACTCCTTGCGCCCCAACTACTATGACTGCGGGTTCGCTCAGGATCTTGGGGGCAGACCCACGGTGGTGTACGGACCCAGCACGGGGGGCACCTTCCAGCATCCGACCCAAATCCAGGAGTTTTACCACGGAGCGTCCTCCCTCTCCAGCTCCCCGTACCAGCAGAACCCCTGCGCCGTGGCGTGCCATGGGGACCCCGGCAACTTCTATGGCTACGACCCCTTGCAAAGGCAGAGCCTCTTCAGCGCCCAGGACTCGGACCTGGTGCAGTACACGGACTGCAAGCTCGCTGCCAGCGGCCTTGGAGAGGAGGCGGAGAGCTCGGAGCAGAGCCCTTCTCCCACCCAGCTCTTCCCCTGGATGCGACCGCAAGGTGAGGCGAGATGGAGAGGACGCCGAGGAGGCATTTCCTGAGCCCCATAAAGTAGCCCTCTTTGCTTTCTTTCTGCCCCTCTTTTGCTCGCTCGCTTTCTTTCGCTCCCCTTTTCTTCCCCGGTGACTGTATTTTACTGCTTTATGGGGGTAAACTTTTGCACTTGTAAATTGCTTTATAGTTTAATTACCCTGAAGGAGACCTTTTCTTCTGGGGGCTGAGCGAGCCGGGCTTTCTGTGGAAGGAAGCGTCCTTAAAGTTTATGGCACTTTTATAGCCTTAAAAAAGCCCCTTCATTTTTGTTTTGCGTTTGATTTGGGATTTCGGTGCTGCTGCTCGCTCTGCCCGGGCTGCAGCTCTTTTCTTTTTTTTTCTTTTTTTTTTTTTTTTTTCCCCGGGATCCCAAAGACCCGGAGCCTGTTGTTGTTGTTGTTGTTGTGATTCGGGTAATAATAAGTGTGCAAGTGCAGGGCTTTAGCCGGGCTGCTCGGAGTAGGCTGGTGGGTGACACCCCCCCTCCCCTGCCACCATCACCCCTTTCCTTTATAACCATCTTCCCTTTTATAATATTCTCCAGGAGCCTTTCCCTCTCCCTCTTTGCTTCCTGCCTTTGCTCCTGCGAGTCCTTTCTTCCTCCCCCTCCCGTGCCTGTGTGTGTGTGAGTGTGTGTGTGTGTGTGAGCGGGTGTGAGCCTGTGTGTGCCTATTCCCGAGCCTGGTTTATGTATCTTTCAACCTCCTTCTCTTCTTCCCCTCTTCCACCCAACCTTTGCAATTCCCCAGCAGCCGCTGGACGGAGGAGGGGGAGGCAAACCTACAGCCGCTACCAGACGCTGGAACTGGAGAAGGAATTTCTATTTAATCCCTACCTGACCCGCAAACGGAGGATCGAGGTCTCGCATGCCCTGGGATTGACAGAAAGGCAGGTCAAAATCTGGTTCCAGAACAGGAGGATGAAATGGAAAAAGGAAAACAACAAAGACAAGTTTCCCAGCAGCAAATGCGAGCAGGAAGAACTGGAAAAACAGAAAATGGAAAGAGCCCAGGAGGTGGACGAGGAAGGGGAAGCACAGAAGGCGGACAAGAAATAAAAGGATTTTTAAGGACTGAAAGGCAAGCGCTGCTGGGGTGGAAGAGCCCCTGAGCCCCACGTTAATGGCAGTTAATGTAAGGGAGGGGTGGGAAAAAACCAACAATGCATAGAAAAGAGAAAGGAAAAAAAAAAAACCTTTTATTGCTGTAAAACAATATAGCTGTAAGCACCACTTTCCTGATTATCCTTTGATACAATGAACAGTATGCAAAAGTGATCGGGAGGTCTCTCCTGCCTTTTGCCAGTTATTAACTAGTGGTAGTGTAACGCAATAGCTTATGTAAAACATGACTGTGAAATTTTCTCTCTCTCTCTGTCTTTCTCTCTGTCTCTCTCTTCTTTCCTGGGGGGTGGGTTGGTTAACATAGCTTTCAATGCTATAGGAGTTACGTGAAATTACATTTGTGCACTTTTTTTTTTTTTAATTATTTTCCACTTTTTTTGTTGTGGTTTATCTGTATGTATTGGAGGTAGCTATTGAAACAAACGTCCCAACAACATGAAACTGCCTATTTATGCTATAGTTATCTCTCCTTTTCTCTCTCTTTCTCTCTTTCCTTTCCTTACTTATGTTCTTTTCTTTGGTTAGGGATTTTCTTTTTTTTTTTCTTTTTTTTTTTTTTTACAATTTTTAAATGTCTCTTCCTAAAAAAGGGAAAAAAGAAAAAAAAAAGACAAGAAAAAAAGCATTTTTCTCTCCTTTAGTTAGCATGCGCACAGTGAAGCAAGTTGTAAAGTGATCTTTAGGTTAACTGTGAAAAAGAATGTATACTGTATACGTGAATTACTTTATTGGGGGAACTAATGATATATTTTGTTGTTCTTTCATCACTTTGTTCTATTGTCTAAACCTGGAAGCGGCGGAAGAAAGTTACAATAAAGTTTACAAGCGAGAATTCCGTGACATCATTCTTTTACCCTGCTCCATTTCCTCCAGGACCACTTTGATAGAAAGGAAATAAAAGTCAATTGTGTCGGAGCTGCAGCCCTGGCCATCAAAGCCTGCTTTGCCTGGAGAGATGCTGGCGGGCTGGGTCGCTGCTGGGACGGGCTGGGGCCGGGGGGCTGCTGCCCGGGAGCCGCGGGGAAGGGGGGGGGGCCCGGGGCAACTGCCATGGCTTCTGCTCTTGTTGTTGTTCCTCACAGTTCCTGGGTGGTGACAGGTTGGGAGGCTGTGTGGAAATCCTTCCTGAAGGTAACGTGCCTTGTTTTGTTTTGGTTCGGTGTTTTTCCCCCTTCCCTTTCTCTTCCCTCCTTTCTTCCCCCCCCCCTCGCCCACCCCTCTCTCCCCGCAAGACGCAGCCCAGCCCCGGGTCCCCCCTCTCTCTTTTCCTCCCACTCAGTCTCTGTGCTTCTGCAGCAGAAAGCAAATCAGCCAGCTGGTGAGGTTTTACTTCTAACTGTAATTGAGTCCCGCAGAACCGCTGACACGCCGAACAAGGGAGCTGTGCACTCTTTATTTTTCGCAACAAGAAAAGCAAATGCCAGCTCAATACGAAGCTCAAAGCCCGTGGCACTGGAATAAATTAGATATAGAGCTGAATGGCATTTGGGGAAAAAGAACCCTGAAACTATTAGGTATCAATGAGACATTTGTCTTTTTTTTTTTTTTTTTTTCTGAATGTTACAGATAACCTAGAACAAGCTTTCAAAAGCCTACCTTCAATTTAAAATGAGGGAATTATGTAGAGTCCTGTGAAAAAGTACCTCGGAGCCGCAGAAATGGTGCGAAAGGAGGGATTTTTAGACGGGATCAATAAAGGGATAAATAGAGCTCCCTTCCTTTTCCTCCAGCAGAGAGAGACCGAGAGGGAGACGCTGGTTTATCAGCAACGTGCTTTTGCCCCCCACCCCCCCTCCCCTTCCCCTTTTCCCTTTCTCCCTCGGTCTGAGCTGAAAACTGATTACAGGTTGCTTATCGACTCCAGCACAATTTCACCCCTTCCAGCATAGATCTTGGAGGGTTTTATATCGCATCAATTATTTATCATATTTTATAAATCCAGCAGCACTACAATTTTTTGCCCCCGAGGAGGGAGCGGGCGGCGATTGGCGCCGCCGGAGCCACGTGCCCGCGCGTCACATGGGCCGGGAGGAAAAAGGGCTCCTTTTTGGTGTAAATCTGGACTCTAATTCCGTAATATATCACGGTACCTCGTAAAACCGACACTAAAACGTCCCGACCTACAAATCACCCGGCCAAATTATGAGTTCATTGTATTATGCGAATGCTTTATTTTCTAAATACCAAGCCGCAAGTTCGGTTTTCCCATCCGGAGTCTTTCCCGAGCAAACTTCTTGCGCTTTCGCCTCCACCACGCAGCGAGCGGGGTATGGGGCCGGATCCACGCCTCCCTTCGCCGCCTCCATGCCCGGGCTCTACTCCAGCGGCAGCGCCGTGCCCCCCCAGCCCCCCAGCATGTACTCCTCCGGCTACGGCCTGGAGCCCGGCTCCTTCAACATGCACTGTTCCCCTTTCGAGCAAAACCTCTCCATGATGTGCCCGGGAGATGCTTCCAAGCAGAACTGCAGCAAAACGGACCAGAGGGACTCAGATTTGCAAAGCGACAGTAACTTCCGTATCTACCCCTGGATGAGGAGCACAGGTAAGCCCCAGCTCCCTAAAGAAAGGATCCT